CTTATGTGAGTGTTGTTCTCCCATCGAAAACGGTTTCCTTAACTTATTGTGTTTGCTTATGGAAATCATATGAATTTTCTGTATGTGGTGTCTTAGAATACATTATAGACTTGCAAAATAAGAGAAGGCAGTGGAGACATTGAATTGAATAGCTCATCACATGTTTTAACTCCATATTGTGACTAAGATTCTTATATAACAATTGCATGAGTCTTAATTAATTTAAACCATTCTTTCTTTTTATATTTCTTCAACGTAGGACTCAAATTCTTTGCACTTACAAGGGAACAACATATTTCAACATAATCATCCCTTGAAAGGAGAGGGTGATCACTTCACCAGGGTCTTTGTTCAGGATTTCCATTTTTCTTATTGCATAGATATTGAAGAAAACAAGGTTACATGACATTCATTGAGAACATTATTGCACAAGAGATTATATACTACTTTGGCGATGTTTCACCTAGTAAATACTGTTTCAAACTAAAGACAGTCTAAATTTTGGTGGCATGAACAAAATATCACATCCACGCCTTGGTATTGGCGAGAAAGGTCTGGCTATGACTCTCCTGCTGTGATATTGGGAGCGCTGACCAAATTCATAATTGATTAGTTTATGTTCTTTTGAACCAGAATAAGAAGCATGAGGCTTCTTTGTCAATACCTTTGATGTTCTTCCAACATGTAGAGGACAATAGATTGCTTTTTTTTTTTTTAACAGCAAAAAATAATATTTATTTATTAATAAATGAAGTACAAGGGGTACCCCAAACCCATAAACATCATAACTTAAAATGCATCATATTACAGGAGTGGAGTAACCTTTCGTATGGTGTCGACCCCTGAAACATGTGTCAACACTACGTTCGTGTCGGAGTTTTGAACGTATACCACATGGTGTCGACACCAAAATTATGTGTCGACACTATACCCGTGTCGAATTTCTATCCTCCTTTGCAGTTTCTTCGTATGAGCCCATCAATCTTAATTACATAACACTTGGCTTTTTTTACATAATCATGCAGAAATAAAAATGAAAGTAAAGACCCAAATTAAGCACCATGCAATTAAATGTTATTCATCACCACAATTAGGTTTAGCACTTATCTTCTCCTCACCCAAAAGGGTCTCACCTCCATTGTATGGCCCTTGTCAAATGTCTGCCCTCTTTTTTGTGAAGGCTGCAAGAGTGCTCAATCTTGGTTGTTGTATCCAATCAGAGAATGAGATCCCCTTCCCTTCACCTTTGAGTTTAAGCCACTGGAATGAACGAGTTTGCACCAAGTCAAATAGTTTCGCTTCGTCCAAGTGTTTATTCTGGAATATTACCTCATTTCTTGCCAGCCATATTGTCCAAGTGATTGCAAACCATATAATTTCCCAACCTATTTTAACTATTGTGTTGTTGAAAAGGTCTTTGTGTTGGTTAAAGGCATCCCAACATGTTCCAGGCATTACATGTTCAACTCCCCACCATTGAAAACATTTTGACCAGAGATTAAAGGCTGTTTTGCAGTGTAGAAATAGGTGGTTTGTGTCTTCAACAACAGTAGTGCAAAAGACACAAATGAGTCCATCTTGAAAGTTACACATCCCTCGTTTTGACAGGTTAAGTTTGGAAGGAATGCGATTTTGAACTAGTTTCCAAGTAAAAGCACATACTTTAGAGGGGATGTTACCATTCCATATCCTGGAGTAGATGCTAGGATCACTAGGTTCACCATCAGCAGCAAGTAAAGAGTAGGCTTCACTAGTGTTGTAATTACCATCCTTGCTGTGCACCCATCTCGAAGTATCTTGAATTCCATGTTGGATTTTAACCCCGTTTAGGATATTCATAAGGGGATCAATCTGAGCTCTTTCTCTCTGCAAAAGCATCCTTCTCCATGGAAGATTCCAGCTCCAAGTGCCATTTATCCAGTTCCCCATTTGGTTGATTGAATGTTGCTGACCTGCAGATAATAGGAATAATCTGGGAAATTTTTCAGCAAGGGGCCCACATCCTACCCAATCATCCCACCAGAATCTGACTACTGCTCCCTCTCCAACTTTTAATTGGAATCCCCTCCTAAGCCAATCATTGGTTCTGCCCCCCATCTCTCCTAACTTGCATAGATCTCTCCACCATAGTGAGCCCTTGTCGTTGCCCTCCCTTAACCAACACAGCCAATTATCTCTATTGTGACCATACTTCTCTTTGATTAATTGGCTCCATAGGCTAATATCTCCTATGGCTAATCTGCCCCACCACTTCCCTAGTAAAGCTAGGTTGAACAATTGGAGGTTTCTCACGCCTAGCCCTCCCTCAAGCTTGCTTTTGC